ACAGAGCAGGGGAGAGAGGCAGAGAGGAGAGAGGCAAAGAAAGTCAGTTTATGTGGGTCACATATTGAGGGGTTTATCTGGATGGAGGCTCTCATAGGACGAAGGTGTGGTGAGTACCTGTTTTCATCGGAAGGCATCCATGGCCTTTTCGAAATCATTCATTTGACTCTTGGATAGAAGCCTGTTACCGAACATGTTGGACAAAATATTTTAAAACCACCCAAGGCAGTCATTCAGAGCCTTCCACCGGGACTCTAATGGGTATTTCAAGGGAGTCCTGGAATAAACAAACACTTACTTGCAACATCTTGGTTCCTGAGCAAATATCTGGAGAATGGAATGCTAGGTTGATGGCAGTGGGGAAATAAACTCATGTTAAGGAGAGTAAACCACTGCGGGATTTGCAGTCCTCACATTCTCCAGCTCCCACAAAATATAGGAGGAAAAATAAAGATTACTTTAAAAAAAAATGTGTAGAAAAACTAGTAGGTAGGTAATCTTACAGCTGTCTTACAATGATGTTAAAATACTTGTAGTTGGATGTGTTGGGGGCAATCCAGTAATTCCATCACCCGGAAGGTGAAGGCAACAGGTCATGAGTTCACGGTAATTCTCACCTATCAAGAAGCCTCAGTTCACAACTGGCCTAAACTGTGTGTACAGACCCTACCTCAAATCCCCCATTTGATTAAAAATGGCAATGGCAGGCTCTGAAATCGCTGAATGTGGGCAAGTTTCTAGGAATGTCTGTGAGGAATTATCTAGATTAGAAAGACCTGCCCTAAGGATGGAACCATTCCTTGGGTTGGAGCTCTGGACTGAGTAAGATGGAAAAGCAAACTAAACACATGAATTCATCACTTTCTGATCCCTTAAAAGTTACTTCGCCTGCCGTCACGTCTGTTCACCATGATGGAATCTCTGGTCTAGAATAAACCCTCCTCCTTGAAACCGATTTTTTTCTGGTGTTCTATCACAGCAATAAAAAAAAAGTACACCTTGACTTTAAAATACACTTTTTCGCCTAATAGAAACTAAAGCCTATTTTCTGGTCTGAATTTTGTTTGTTAGTTTGGGTTTGTTGCTGTTTGGTTCGTTTTGTGTTTTGAGTCTTTGAATTGACACACTAAGAGAACCTGACATTTTCTTCCCAAACGTTGGAGTCATTAAGGCTGGTCAGACGCTCTCACTAAAAGACATGCTCAGTCAGAATGGGGAAACCGAGTCGAAACAAAGCAGAAGTACACCCACAACGAATTGAAAACTGTTGAGTCGCTGTAAGGTAAAATAAAAAACGACATTCACAGAAGCCATCAACCTCCACACCGGATGTTTCAAGCCCTGAGACAAAGGGCTAAGGTGCCTACTTAGAATATCAAAGCTGACACTGGCCTGGCTGCCAGGCTCTCTCTGCACCCCTCGGTCCCTACCTCGTACAGGGCCTCATAACTGGCATGCCCCGTCCCCTACCCTAAACTTCTCCAGCTCAGGGACTAGGCTGCCCATCCCCCAACGGCCCTTCCCTATATAATCCAACCATTTTGTTTACCCGTCCTGTTTGGGCCTCCTGACTCCTGCACCTGGTTCCCCACTCTTGGTCAATTTCTTGGCCTAGGCTGCCCCTCTCCCCTCCCCCTCTCCTCACTTGGCTCAGGGTCTTGTCTGCTCTGGACGCTACCCGACGTCTCGGCCTCTGGCTATGGTCTCCCTTCTATCTACAACGAATTTATTCCTCCACCACACCCAGGAGCACTCACGTCCTTTCTTTTTCTTTTTTCTTTTTTTCATTTGCAAACATGAGCTCCTTTTCTAGGATTTAGACCTCAACTATATCAGGAAAACAGAGCAGTAACATTGTTACCTTAAGTAACTAGGCTCTAGGGACAGATTTTTTTTTTTTATAGTATTAAAAACCAAAATCAGTTGTCTGCTGTTAAAAGATGAAAATGTCACCAAGTAATGGTGGCACAGGCCTTTAATCCCAGAAGGAGGCAGATCTTTTGAGTTTGAGGCCAGCCTGGTCTACCAAGTGTTATGGGACAGCCAGGACTACACAGAGAAACCCTGTCTCAAAAATAGATGATAGATTAGATGGATAGATAGATAGATAGATAGATAGATAGATAGATAGATAGATAGATAGGCAGGCAATACCGTTTCTTAGCTTGCAGGGGAATATATTAAACTAGAATGCTGGCTATGGTAGTCAATGCCTGTAAACCTGAGGCAAGAGATTCAGAGGTTTAAATTCACCCTTCACCATACAGCAAGCTTAGGCCAGCTTGGGCTACATGACACCAGGGCTCGGCTGCCTCCCGACCTTTGCCTCCCGACCGGAATCTTCAGTAACCGTGGGTTATGTCACCCTAATCCTCCGGTCCTGAGGTTCTCCAGAGTGAGCTAGCGAGTTCCACAGCACCCACAAGGATGTCCACACTGACCACACTTTAGTCAGGCTTCCTGGGGTCTCTTTGCATCATGGCCTCAATCTTGTCCAGTTTTAGTAAGAATCCTGCCAAGCCATGCCAGTTAGTGAGGACCCTTCCTATCGGTCTCTTCTCAGTACTTTGCCATCTTTGCCCTGCCCTCACTCAGCCACAGTCTATAAACGCTCAGGAGCCCTTGCGGTTTGGAGCTGAGGTCAGCTGTATACGGCCGACTCTTTCTATCCTGCACGCACTCGAATTGAATCTTCCCTGACGGCTGTTTAAAGGCTAAGCATGTATTTGTGTGTAAGGGCACACAAATAAACGGAATTAGAGTACAGGCAGTTGTGAACTAACTGATAGGGGCGCTGGAAGACTGTCCTCTGGTTCTCGGAAGCTAGTACCGAGCTACAGTCACCCTTAACTCCTGAGCCATCTCTCTGGACCTGTCCTGCCATTTTATCAAATGTTCAGAGAAACTACACCTTAACAACATCAGAAGAAAGGACCATATGTGGTGCAGGGAAATTTCGTCCAAGTTGCAATAAAGCCTAATGAATTGCCCAAATGGTTTTTATTATTATTATTATTATTATTATTATTATTATTATTATTATTTACTGCCGCGCCACGGAGGCTTGTGCAGGGAGGAAGAACGACCTTTATCTTTCCCTGAGCTAGAGCCTTTTACACCTTTAGGCTGCTGGCCGGAAACATGCTGGACAGCCAGAGGTCAAGATCAGAGCATCCTGTACTGAGAACGCTTCTGCGCTTCTGTGCTTCCGCGGAAAACCACCGGCCGGAAGGAACGCAAGCATCCTTGTTGATGACAAGGAAGTTTAGCTGCCGGTCATGGGGAGTGAGCGCAGCCAGATCACAACAATTTACTTGTTAATTCTCAGGTGGCTCTTCTGCACTGTGCTGCAGGATACAACAGCAGCAGCTGACATTCTCACTGCTACTTTCTTGAGTTAGAGAAACCTGCTTTTTCTGTAGTGCCATTTCCTATGCATAAACCTTTATCTAGACTGTAATCAGTCTATGGTTGCTTCAGCCTTCCCACCCATCCCTCGTCCTTAAATAGCTCCCATTTTTTGTAGCACACACTTTTGTCCTCCCATATTTATGCCACACATTTTGGCACGCACACTCCCTGGACTCCAGCGCTCTGGCGGTCACACTGCCAACCAGAGGCTCTCATCACTCCTACAGCTCGGGGCTAGACCTGGGTGGGGTACGGCCAGAGGCTATCCCAATCACCAGCTCACACTGGCTCTCCTCAACAGGGAACAGCCAAAACCCTGGATGGGATTCATTTTTCTAAGAAACCAGCACAGGATATCTGCTGGTCATTTTCTAACATAGTTCATATTTTTCTACTCTTCAAGAAAAGACTTTATCATATAGATCTGAAAAATATAGGTGACAATTCACACACACACACAAAGCAAACAAAACAGTGCCTAATCTTCTACCAACGGGTAGATACTGTTAGTATTAGCTGGAATCATTAGCTATCCACATAGAACTGTAATCTGACTGATGTACAACGGAGCCTAGAAAATAACGACTACTCACATCTTTCAAGTTTCTTTTTCTGCTTTTCTTTTGCTTACTTGGCTTTTGCTGTTGTTGGTTCTGTTTTGTGACAGGGTTTTGCTATATAGCCATGGCTGCTCTGGAACTCACTATGTGGACAAATCCGAGTGGCCAAGCCCTCACAGAGATCTACCTGCCTCTGCTTCATGTACCACCACGCTCAACCTTTCTCAGTGCTTGCTTTTTTTCTTTTTCTTTTCTTTTCTTTTCTTTTTTTTTTTTTTTGAGGTTGGATATTTATTTGGTGGGTTATGGAAGAGAAGGGGAAAAGGAAGAGGGAGGGAGAAGGGATGCAGAGAGACAGAAAGAGGGGGTGGAAAGGGGAAAACTGGGGAGAAGGGAGAGAGGCAGAAGCTGCCTTTTCAGGAAAGAGATGAGAGATGGAAAGCCATTCTCAGTGTCTTAAACACGTTTTGTTAAGTATTCCTGGGTATCTCTGCAATGGCTACCGAACATTTGACAGTGTTAAAGGAGTTTAGACTGATCCTCTCGTCAGTGTACTGCATTGATATGTTTATTTTCATGGCTCTGAGTAATTCTAAACTATCTTTTTGTGTATCAGCTCAAAATGACTCTCAAGGGGCCCAAACAAAGAGTGACAGTCCCCAGGAAGTCCCTCTCAAGGAGGTCTCAGCCTTAACCCACACACTGACAGTTCCCAACAGCTGATTAGAATCCTAGGATGGCTCCACCCACTTCTAATGCCTGCCTGAAAAAGAACAGCGGTCTCGGAAAGATGAAAGGTAAATTTACTGTTTATTTCAAGCACCACCTAAAGCTAAGGCATCTTTCCCCTTGCGTGTGGAAAGTGTTATATTGTTACATGCCACGAATAAATGAATACTCACCCCACAGAGGGAACAGGTAGTAAAACAAAAGGTAGATACCACCCAAATCCAACTTAGTGAACCCATGAATTTTATTAGAGTTACTTACAAAAAAACAAAAACAAAACAGGGATGAAGATTTACTTACAGGAGCAGAAATCACTCAGACAGCTATAATCACGAAAGCAAGCGTAGGTGATGGATGGCTCGCAAAAGCTGGAAGCCCGGAGGTATACTGCACACGCCACAGGATGCTCAGCAGGGTTGGGAAGATCCTTTCCTGATAGCGCAGCAAACGGCTGCTTCCATGCAGTTCTGCCGCCTGTCTCCCAGCTTATATATGCTTGGGGGAGGGACGAGGATAGTGAATCTGGTCAGTTTCAGGGTCTTCATGAAACTATTTGAAGTTGTTTACTTCCTGAGTTAAGGAGTTTCTCCACAGGATGGGATACACTGCCTCCCAGTAAAACTTTCTGTTGTCTCACCTCCCAGTTAACAGCTATGTGTCCTAATGAGCTTCTCTCCGAGATGGAAGGAAGATTTTTTTCGTTTGTTTTTCTACTCTGTAGCTTTGGAGATAGCCCTTGTAGATCAGGCTGGTCTCGAACTCACAGAGATCTGCCTGCCTCTGGAAGGCTTTAATCTAGAAAGACATTGCTATACAACAGAAAGTAGGAAGTTAACAACAACAACAACTTCTCCCCTCTTACTGACATTTTTTTTGAGATAGGGTTTCTTTCTGTATTCCAAGCTGGCCTGGAACTCACTATAACTCAGAATAGCCTCAAACTCAAGGATATTTCCTGCCTCGACCTTTTGTAAGCCAGCTTGCAATACATATTTCTCACTAAAGTCTATTTTGCCAATCTGAGTTCAGTCCTAGGGTTTTTTGTTTTAGGTTTTTTGTTTTGTTTTGTCTGTTTTTTGTTTTATAAAATTTGAATTTTATTGACAAATATCATTTTATCTTTGATCTTCGAAAAACTGTGACTTTGAACTGCATCTGCCAAATACAAAGATTATTGTGTGATTGTGTGTCACCTAGTGCACATTTCCAAGTATTTCGTTTTCTCTTATTCTCTTATTGTCTTAGTTGTAGAACTCTAAAGTACAGAAAATGCATCACTATTTAAATAATCCTTGCCCATAGGAATGTAAATGAATTGTGTCAGGAGAAATGTGATTATTCTCTTGTGACAGGCCTATCTACTCACAAATTTTCCTACTTTCCTGGTTCTGTCTTGGTGTGTGTGTGTGTGTGTGTGTGTGTGTGTGTACATGTTAGTTCTCCTTTTAATTGGATGTGATAGTGTGTATACATTTACTCACTAATTATTAAATGAAACAAAATGCAAGTTCATGTGGAGCACACGCCTTTAATGCCAACACTCAGGAGACGGACACAGGTGGCTCTCTGTGAGTCACCTGGTCTACCTGGTCAACCTGGTCTACAGAGCTAGTTCCAGGACTTCATAGAGAAACCCGGTCTTGAAAAACAAAACAAACAAAATGCAGGTTCATCTTATTGTGGGATCCTCACCCCTATTCTCAAAGGGACAAGAAGAAATTTCCTAGCAGAATTTTTTAAAATTAAAAACCCAGACTAGCCTCGCATTCCCGGAAAGATAGTGGCCTTCCCTCCCCCCCCCCCCACCCAGGAAATTCCAAAGCACAAGGACACCAGGCCACCTGGTGATAAAGATGGCAGGGTGGCCTTGCTCTAAAAACAAAGAACAAGCTGACATAGCGGGATGGGAAAGAGCAAAAGACCTTGTACCCCTGCCAAAGCAGCTCTGAAAGGTTTGCTTGTAGTTTTATCTTTAAAAAACTAACCCCTCAGAGGGACGTTACCTTCTCTCTCTACCTCGCTGTTGCGGGGTGTTGGAGATGGAAGTTACGAGCTAGCTTGTACTTGCAATAAAAAGAAACCTCGCTTTTTGCAGTCTGGTCTCTGGTTCCTGGTGGTTTCTCTGAGAGTCGTTATCTGGGCACAACACTTACATTTGGAAGAAAGCCATGACTGTAGATAGTGTTGCAGGTCTTTCATCTCAGCACAGGAAGGCAAAGGCAAGGGCACCCCTGTAAGTTCAAAGCAGGTACAACCAGAAACTGTTGGCTGTGTGACACACCTTTAATCCCAGCATTGGGGAGAAAGAGGCTGGCAGATCTCTGTGAGTTTGAGGTTGCCCTTGTCTACAATGGTTAGTTCCAGGACAGCTAGGGCTGTTACACAGAGAAATCCTGTCTTGAAAACAAAACAAAACAAAATAAAGCAAAAAAAAAAAAAAAAGTTCAGCCAAATTTCTATGAAACCAAAATTTCTCTGGAAATTTCTCAATCCCTAGTCTTGCAGGGCTTCTCTGTTTGTTTGTTTTGCTTTGTTTGTTTGTTTTGACTATATAAACCCTACCTCCTCCTATGTTCGATGATATTTTTTCAAACCCTGGTTTAGGGAAATAGACCTATTTTGTCTGACAGAAAATAAAGTTCTCTTCATTTGACCAAAGAATTTTGATATGTCCTTATTCTTCTTTGGTGGGGTTCACATACGTAAAGGTAAAACAAAGCTGATAGCAAATCCAATAACCCATCGCACAACAAGTCACACATCCACTAGTGGTGGGAGGGACAGTGAATGGGATGCTGGTTCCTGAGGAGCAATGGTCCTTGAAAGCGGCAGAGACTAACCAGATCAACCAGGGTGCCGAGATCCAGGCGCGCCATCTGGTGTTGCTGGTACTCGAGTCTTGAGTTGAGGCACCCTGGGGACTAGTTCCTGGAGCCTGGGTTTTTAGAGCTCTTCAGAGTTGTCTTAGTTAGGGTTTCTATTGCTGTGACGAAATACCATGCCCAAAAATCAAGTTGGGGATGAAAAGGTTTCTTTACACTTCTACACTGTGGTCCATCACTGAAGGAAGTCAGGACAGGAACTCAAAGAGGGCAGAAACCTGGAGGCAGGAGCTGATGATGCAGAGGCCATGAAGAGTGCTGCTTACTGGCTCACTTCTAATGGCTTTTATAGACACCCCAAGGACCACCTGCCCAGGGAGGGAACCACCCACCATGGGCTAAGCCTTCCCAAATCAATCTCTAATTAAGAAAATGCCCTGCGGTCAAATTTTAAGAAAGCATTTTCCCAGTTGAAGGTCCCTCCTTTCAGATTACTCTATCTTGTGTCAAATTCCTTATTAGCCAGCACATAGGTTTACCCTACCCTTGCTGATTTTTGGTCCTCGCTCCTGATTACTACTGCAGCCGGCTCCCAGACCTTACTGGTTGGTTACTCAGGCGCTGTCTTCTGCGGTTAGCCGGGTCTGATGTCAGGAATGCTCCATCTTGTGAAACACTACATTTGGTTTTATTTGTTCTAAGCGTTCTCTACAAACCCTTGAGAGAGTATCAAAAGGTTAGGATTCCAAAGACACCGTCTGCACAGTCCTCAAGCTATACCCTACAAGAGGTTATTAGAATCTTCTTAAAGAAACCACCATAACGTAACCAAAACGCTTGACCCCGACGTGATTTGAACACGCAACCTTCTGATCTGGAGTCAGACGCGCTACCGTTGCGCCACGAGGTCACAGCCTCCTGGTGCTTTCAGGCTAATTTAAGGACCCTAACTGACTTCTCATCTGTGCTGAAATATCTCAGTTATTTTGAAGTTTGATCTACTGTGTCCTCACAGTGCACAGTTTCATTACGGTCTTTCCTGACAGAGTAAGGAATTCCCCTGCTTTAACCTTAACTCCCAAACGCGCTTGCTTCTTACACACGGTTTTCTCATTTGGTTTCTACTTTCCAAAGGGAAAAAAAAAAGTTGTATGGAGCTTAGATTCGCAGCAAACAGGACCAAGAAACATCTCTTCCTTCCCTAGACCAGTGCGGATAAACTTTGCAATGCGCCACGCGAACTAGTCCCCTGGGGGGCCACAAAGTAGTGTCCCCCAAAGCTTCGCCTCCGGGTCAGAGTTCACCGGCTTCCCGGCAATCGTAAGACTCCGCGGCTCGCTCAGTTCATTTCACTAACCCCCAAGCAAATCAGCCTTACTGAGGTAGTCCTCAGTTCCGTGGGTCTCAGAAATTCCTTCCAGTATCAGTAGCAGCACGGATCCATTATTGTTGTTGTTCCTGGGGGAGGGGGAGGGAGTCTCTGAGTTTTTGCAAAGAAGCAAAGGATTGTATTTTGAAGCAAAGAGGCCAGCTACCTGAGTTTGAGTGCCCCAGAGTCTTTTACTAGGAGTTTTAAGACAAGTTCTTGCCTTGACTTTTTCTGCCTCAGTCTACCAAATGCTGGGTTTACATGCCAGAATCTTCCTGCCGCTGGGAATTAATAAAAAAAAAAAAATTCTGATGTTGAATCTGAAAATGAATCAAAAGTATGCGTTTTAATCAAACCTCCGGATGAGTTGCAGAGAAAACTTTGAGAGTTCCCCATTATCTTGATAGTATGGGTGTGGGTTCTTTGAGTTCTTTATTTCTTTCTCTGCTTTTCATTTGCTTGTTTTAGGGAGGGTCTTGAGTGGTCCAGCCTTGCCTCAAGCTTCCCAAGTACCTGGAAATGACCTTAAAACTGCCGGTCCTCTCCCTACAGCTGCATTGTTGGGACTCTAGCCTGTATCATCATGACAAGGCTAATATTCTCCTGTAAAGCAAGACAAATCTGAACAATCCCTTTGTTCCTTATTCTCAGATAACCTCTCCACGCCAACAGCTCTTAGTTGCTTTTAGTTGAGGACAAGCGGCTCTGACAGGTGGGCCAAGGTAACAGCTGATATAGTTTGATCCATTCACTTCTGGCTCCTCGGTCCGGCCCGTTAAAATCTTCAAAGCAAATCCCTGAGGTCAGATTTGAGACTTGATCTTCTCTCCCCACAAGCTGGAATAAGTCTTCGAAAGAGTAGCCAGTAAAATCAGGCTAGAAATATATTGTTAAGAAGATAAACTTACAGTTTGAGGCTGGTCTGGGGCTACCTAGTGAATTCCAGGGTATCCCAATCCACAGTGTGAGACCCTATGGGAAGGAAGGAAAGGAAGGAGAGAGAGAGAGAGAGAGAGAGAGAGAGAGAGAGAGAGAGAGAGTCACAACGGCTGGCCTTCTAGGGTGGATAAAGAAAAAATATTAGTCATCTGGGATTGCTATAATGAATACTGCAGGGTGCAATATTTAAGCAATAGGAATTTCTTTTTGTTTATTTGCTTGGTTTTGCTTTGTTAACTGTGATGATATACGTGTGGATGTAAATGTATGTATGCATGTATGTATGTGTGTGTGTACACACACAAAACACATACATGTCAAAACAGGATTTCTTCTCTCATAGTTTAGGAGACAAGATCAAGAATGTCTTCCTAAGGATTCTTTCTCTTGGCTGGGTTTTCTCTATCTCTGTGGTCTTCTTATGCGAACAGCGCCCTAATGCCTTCTTGTCCGGACGTAAGGATGGCAGTCACATTGATCTTACCCACAGAAAAAGACAGGATTTGCGCACATGAATCTCAGGGTTTTGAAAGCCACAGCGGACCACCCGCATGCCGCCTCAGAAGAGCCCAGTGCTGACTGCATCCCTGTGAAGCTAACAGGGTGGGAACAGAAGTGGCGGGCGGTACAAACCCCTTCGCCTTCATCTGTTCCAATCTCAGGATGGAGATGAGCCTTCTCAGGCCTGACAGGTCGATGTTGCTCCTCCATCAACCGTCCAGATTAAAGATTTCTGGTCTCCACTCCTAAATCTCTTCTATACTATCCGAATTTATGTCTGAGATCTGTTTACGTGGGGTCTGTGGAGAGCACAAAGTGAATTCTTTACCCGGAAATATCCGCACGGTAGCGGCGGCTCCAGGGTCTGTACAGCGGTGATTTCCCTCCTTCAACTCCCACTTAAAGCCCTAGAGCTCACGATGGCTTAGGAAATTTGCTTCCGATCGAACGATTAAACAACAACAAAAACTGTTATCGATGACTGAATCACCAAATTTCTATCTTCGGGGATTTATGGTTGAAACTTCATGGTATTAAATTTAAACTTATTTCACCAATAAATTTGTAATAACAACATCGCTAACAATAGCGAGTCATGAAGAGAACAGGTTTTTTTCGAATAACAAATGAGCAGGAGCCCCTCCATGCGGGACCACGTGGCCTAATGGATAAGGCGTCTGACTTCGGATCAGAAGATTGAGGGTTCGAATCCCTTCGTGGTTGGTTGGCATTGTTTTTACATTTTATCTTCGACCATATTAGACCACCTAACAACCGCCTTTTGACAGTTATTTACTACTGGTTAAATACAGAAAAGACCAAAAATATTTAACCAGAATCTGATCACCCAAAACAGATTTTTTCAGTTTGAAGACAGTAAAAAAGTAAAAGCTGCCACAAGGAATAACAGAGCCTAATCCCTAATGTGAGATATTCGAAAATACAATTTAAATGAGTTTGATTCTCAGAAAAGTCTTTATTTTTTATTTTTTTTTTTATTTTTTGTTGTTTTTCGAGACAGGGTTTCTTTGTGTATTCCTAGTTGTCCTGGAACTTACTTCTGAGGACTAGGCTGGCTTCAAACTTAGAGATCCATCTGCTTCTGCCTCTCTAGTGCAGGGCTTAAAGTCTATTGTCAGAGCAAAACAACAAAACAGAATTCTGGGAAACTTCGTCAACCACCCCCCCAAAAAAAAGCTAAAGTTGTCACTATAGTCAAACACAATGAACCAACTTGGTCTAGATCCTTATTAGAAAAACAGCTAGCATGCCTGTAATCCCAGCACTCAGGAGATGGATACAGGAGCATCATTACACGTTTGAAGACCACATGGTCAATACAAGCAGTTTCAGGCAAGTAAGGATTACTGAGTGAATCATGATCTCAGAGAAGAAGAGAGAGAAAGAGAGAGAGAGAGAGAGAGAGAGAGAGAGAGAGAGGAGAGAAGAGAGAGGCAT